TATATATATATATGGGTGTGGAGATGTGAGTAAACTGTATATGTGTGTGTATGTGTGTGTGTGGGGGGGGGAGAGGGAAGGGGTGTGACTATTATTTTCCTCAAATATAATTTAGGTTATGTAGGGGGAATGGGCGCGCATTAGTCTCTCTCCGTTGAACTTACGGCCGTCTACAGATTGGGCAGCATAGAGCACAAACTCCACAGCTCTAGCGACAGCCTCTAAGAATCTCAGGGAAAAAAAATTGGAACGCATGAGCCAAACAAGGTAGTTCAAAAACCACCCTAGCGGCGCGTACACAAGACTCATAAACTTGTCTACGAGAACACAACACATAAGATTTTACTAAAATACTATTGTCCCCGTGACGGTTCAATGGAGGGTACAGGGAATGAAAGGAAGGTTAGGGTAGGGGGAGGGGGGGGGTAGGATAAACCCACTACCTTTCAGTGGGGGTGTTCGGGGGTATTACTTCTCCTGTCCCACGTGTCTTGCCATTCTATTGGCAAGACATCAACCCGCTACTTCGAGATACTAAGCTGATTTTGTATATTTGTGTGGTACTGTTTGATTTATGCTTGTGCTAATGAAGGCCCCATAGCCGCAACGTTCACGCTTTGTTTGTTTTTGTTATATTGTGAAGCTTATTGATATACTTTTCGTTCGGTTTTATATCTTTTGTTACTACCTTTCAGCAAGCGAGTCCCAAAATGCAAACAAACTGAGTGTGTGCTGAACTAAGACCTGTTGGGCCAAAACGCTCAACTATTGTAGCCTTGCTGTGAGTCACAAAACAGCGTGCAAATAGTGCTTTTAGGTGCGAAATCAGAAAGAGAGGGAAGTAAAGACGAAAAAGAATAGTCACTACTGTGATATAAAGAAAATAGTGTCCCTTTGAGAAAGGTGAATAGTAATATGGCCAGAAAGACACTGGAAAACACAGCTGTTCATGAGAAATCTCTGCTTCCAATTTTAGATAGTATCAACCCTAATACCGTACTCATCATATTTAACAGCCACTTTAAACTGATGAGGGCAAATGTGTATAAAATCTATGTATAAAAAATGAATTATGTAATTACAGTAAAATCAAGATAAATAAATGTATGTCTGTGCGTATCTCCGCCATCACCGGCCCGAACCCGGACGAAAAAGAACAAGGGTTAGGCGTGGGGTCAGCTCTCCCAATCTGAAAAATAACGTTTCTACAGATACTCAGGCATCAACAGTTATAAGATAAAGAAGATGACACCATAACGGCAAAAGAAGCGTTTAGAGTTCAAACAGACACTGAAGTTCGAAACTGAGAGACCAAGGAAACAATAACATGCAAGAGGTAGCCGCTGGACCTAATTGCATACACGATCAATCAATCCTCGTCGTGCCCAGAGGCACATAAGGCAGAGACAAACTGTAGCCACTCAGTTCGATCCTGAGCCATCCTCTCTATCTCCAGTTTTGTCCTTCGCATAGCCTTGAGTCCAACCTCAAAGGTTCGCCTCGAAGTGCCTTTGTGCCTGCCTCTTCCTCGCTGTCCTTTTGGTGTCCATTGCAATGCCTGTCTCGGCCGTCTCTCTTTCTTCATTCTGAGGACCTGTTCAGTCCACAACCATCTTCATTTTTTTTTTAAACTTCTAAATCTACTTCGAAGTATGTCATTTGTTGTAATCTAGAATTGCTGATTTTATTTTCCCACGTGAACCCAACAATCGTCTGAGAAGTCTTCCCTGAAAATCTCAGATAAAGCTCTCTATCTTTCTGTCTGTTTTTTAAGTTTGTGCTCCTTAGAATAATGAAAAAAAGGTCAATTCAAAAATTTTGAAGAGTGACCTGAATGCTCAGATAGGATCAGATAACACAGGTTATGAAGAAATTATGGGAAGACTTGGTCTAGGAGTAATGAAGGAAAATGGAGAATTGTTAACAAATTTTTGTGCAGGAAACCAGTATGTTATTGGTGGAAGTATTTTTCCATATAAAAGAATACACAAGGCAACACGGGAATCACCAGACTATAAGACAACTAATCAAATTGATCACCTATGTATGAACAAAAAGTTTAGATCATCCCTTTACGATGTTAGGGTTTTCAGAGGTGCCGATGTATTTACTGACCATTTCCTGGCGGTAAGTAAAATAAAGTTAAAACTTAAAAGATATTTAACATCTTATAATCATAGAAACCGATATAGTGTAGGTTAACTCAGGGATAAAGATGTTAAGGAACAGTTTTCAGTTACAGTCTCTAATAAGTACCAGGTGTTGCAGCAGTTAGCTGAAGATGTCAGCACAGAAGTATGATCAAAGGAACCTAGAATGAATCTTGTGTAGAAGTTCTTGGCAAGAAAGAACGGAAACATAAAGCATGGATAGCACCACAAACCATTAAACTGATTAAGGAAAGAAAAAAAATAAAAAGGCAGACCTAAGCAATAGCAAAACTAGAGCTGCTAAAGCTAGAGCTCAGGATAAATACACAGAAGCCAATAAGGAAGTTAGGAGGCGCAAGGGGCAGATTCAGTGAAATATCTAAATGATATCTAAATATAGTCAGCCAATGGGATCAATCAAAAATAGTAAAGGAAAGGTACTTACTAACACTAAAGATCAAATGGACAGATGGGTTGAATATTTTGAAATGCTTTTAAATATACTAGGTCCAGAGGTTCCCCCAGATATTCAACTTTTAGAAATGGAACTGGATAACAACTGTGAGATACCATCTAAAGAGGAAATTAGAAAAGCTATCAATCTTCTCAAGGAAGTAAAGGAGGCAGGCCCAGATGGTGTTCCAGCTGAAGCCATCAAGGCCAACATAAACACATCAACAGAATTACTACATAGATTATTTAGTAAAGTCTGGGAGGCCGAAGAAATACCAGCAGACTGGAGAGAAGGATATCTTGTAAAACTGCCCAAAGAAGGTGATCTACAGGAGTGGGAAAACAATAGAGCAATTATGTTGCTGTCAGTTCCTGAAAAAAAAATTAAGTAGAATTATTTTGGAAAGATTAAAAGATGCTATTGATAAAAAGCTAAGAGATGAACAGGCAGGTTTTCGGTCAAACAGATCCTGTACTGACCAGATAGCCACATTACGTATTATAATAGAGCAAAGCATTGAACTGAACTCACCACTTTACATTGGATTTATAGACTATGAAAAAGCATTTGACAGCATTGATAGGGAATCTCTTTGGAAATTGATGGGCGCACTATGGAATTTCACAGAAAGTTATTAACTTAGTAAAGGCAACATATAAAGACGTGAAATGTCGAGTTCTTCATGAGGGAAAGCTAACAGATACATTTGAAATAAAAACAGGTTTGCGACAGGGATGTCTTTTTGTCGCCACTCTTTTTTTTACTGGCTATAGACTGGATTATGAAAACAGTAACTGCTAACACCAAGAATGGAATTCAGTGGATCCCTACAAAACAGCTTGATGATCTGGACTTCGCAGGTGATATTTCCCTTTTGTCCCATTCGCGGAATCAGATGCAAGATAAATTAAATATACTTGATGCAAGATCACAGCAGCTTGGTCTGAAAACCCATAAAGGAAAGACAAAGATAATGAGAATAAATCAGGTAAATAGTAATGTGGTTTCTCTTAATGGCACCCCACTCCACGACGTGGAGTCGTACACCTATATGGGCAGTAATGTAGATAAAGATGGAGGAACTGATAGAGATATTAAAATAATACTACAAAAGGCAAGAGGAGCTTTCATAGCACTAGGGAATTTGTGGAGGTCATATGAAATTAAAAGAAATACTAAACTAAAAATTTGTAATTCTAATGTCGAATCAGTACTTTTGTATGGGGCGGAAACATTGAGAACAACTAAGGCAAATTCTAATAAATTACAGACATTCATTAACTGGTGCCTGCGCAGAACAGAGGGAATTAAATGGTATGATAGAATAACTAATGTAGAGCTTTGGGAGAGAACTAAACGGGTTCCAGTAGACCAAAAGGTGAGGAAAAGACGCTGGCGTTAGATAGGACACACACTAAGAAAACAGGAGGCAGCATAACTAGAATGTCTTTGCATTGGAACCCACAGGAGCTTGGGATAAAGTAAGGCTTAAAAAACACACGGTGAAGAGAGCTGGAGAATGAAGTTAGAAAGATGGGGAGGACATGGGGAGAGCTCCATGTAATGGCGAAGGATAGAACTACTTGGCGTGGGTTGGTTGAGGGCCTATGCTCCATTAGGGAATAGAAAGGCAGAAAAAGAAGAGGAGAACTGTCTCAACGCATGTTTTATATATCCTAAGTTTAGTTTTAGTGCTGTAGATGTTTGATCTCCAGACACTCTAAAGTCTGTTGTAAGCAACATTTGCTTTTGCAATGCTCTGCTTGATTTCAACCACTACATTTCCATTCAAGGAGATACTGCTTCAATAGTAAGTGAAGACAGTTACTGTTTTCAAACCTACATTGCATTCACGATACCGAAAGGACTTCACAAGATAGACCTCAATCGAGGAATAGACAGACCGCGAGCCCAGTATCACATAGAATGACGCCACGGGATAATGACGTAACGGGACGATGATGATACTAGTTATACTAGTTACGCCCCCAGTGGGTAGAAAGCAGTCAGTATGTCTGGCTTCTCATTTCCAAACACGCTTGCACAGCCCGGGAAAATATGAATACTTGTCTTTCTGTTTGCCCACCTGTCCTTATCTCTCTTTCAGTGTGTGTGTGTGTGTGTGTGTGTGTGTGTGTGTGTGTGTGTGTGTGTGTGTGTGTCTATCTCTGTGTGTGTGTGTATGTGTATTGATTACTGGTTCAAGTAATAATTTTTCTGTATGTTACATTTTCTGTCCAGATTGTGCCATATATGGTGATGGACATATTTGAATACCTTCCCGGCATGCCAGGATTATTTCTAGCATCACTGTTCAGCGCTTCTCTCAGGTTTGTGTCTAATAACTTTGGCCATAAATGATCACCATCCTCATGACGAAAAAAAAAAAAAAAAAAAGCGACACACTAACAGCAGTTTAAGAGATACGCTCGAGGGCCAGATCTGATAAGAATATTTCGTCATTTCCACGATAATCTCCCCCAAATACACACTAGCTCATTTTTGATTGGTCGACCTGCAGTCACCCGATCTTCGCACACTGCTACGTGGGTGTTCGGCAGTGCCGTTGTATCAATATTCATTACAAATAATACACAAACAGACAATGTATTAATCGGCACTCGTAGAAAGATGCGAGTGACCCGCGTTCGGTTTCCCGCTGGGTGATATAAATTTTTTCGTCGCCCAACTTCTGAGTTGAGTGCATGGCGTGACACTGTGAGCTACGTGTGTTTTTCGTTGGCACAGGAGCGAAGCAACTATGGGGTGACCCGTTTACTATGAAGCTGAAACTAGGATTACCAGAAAGATGTAGAAAGATAGAGGACACACTAGAAAACATAAAAATCGAAGTTGGTAGTTACCGTACCAAGAATCGAGCCTGTCTCCGCTAAATGGGGTGTACGCCTTGCTATGGAAACAAGTGTACAAAGATACTTTACCAACTAAGCACATTGAGTTGGATTCCCTGCACTGTAACTATAGCTTTCGATTTTTATGTTGTCGAATGTGTCCTCAATCTTTCTACTTTTTTTCTACGAGGGCCAATCAATAAATTGTATTTTTGTTTATAATACATCATTGTTTCAATGTCCGTTTTTATCTCTCAGGTTTTACAGAATTAATTGATTGACTAGACGGTGGAGCATAACAGTAATAGTAAAAGGGATAATGATACATTTTATTAATTATTACACAAAAATTTGTTATTATAAGCAAATAATTTGTATAGAGAATTTCTATGGACAGTTAAACTGGAGAATGCTTATCTTTATCCTTGTGACAACCTTGACGTATACGGCCGTACGGCATATAGCACCAAACCTATCAGCACTCATTGGATGATGCGGTCAACCTTAGCCGAAGTCCTTTACTTTCTATGAAATAACCTGGTACCCAGCTGGGCTGGGTTGACCTGAGGGCCAAAGTTAATTATTTTAAAAAAAAAAGGGGGGGGGGGGGTTAATCCGTCTTAATGCGGACTTCATAACCAATAACATTACTGGGCAATAATTTTTTTTATTAAATGACAAATGGTTGTAGTAACGAAGTCGGGCCCAGCTACACACTAGCTGACCTTGTTGCATTCATGCTTACTCAGGCTGGTATACCTGACAGGGATGTCATGGTGTACTGTTTTCTTCGCAAAGCTATTTGCGTTGCGTATTTATCGTTGTTGTGTGAGCAGCGGCCGCCATCATTGCGTTTTCACTCATAAACAAAAAAAAAGCATTGCTTCCACGGGTCGTTCGTTTAAAACATCACGCATGTGACCTATATGACGCTTTTGTGACTCTCAGTTTGACATGCCTGGTCTAGACTACTTTATTTAATCATTCCATACTATTTGTCGATAGCATAGCTCGCTCCAAAAGACGTTGCCTCAAACGTTAACAAATATTCAGAAAACTCCCGTAAGGATCAACACGAATGTTTGCATGTTGTCATAGATACCACATGCCCTTATGATTTCATAATTTACAATTACACAAGTCCTGCATTTTTCTTACAGTGGCGAATTTCTGTGATTTATGTCGGACTATTAATGTGTGTACTCTTAAAATATAAAGTAGCTAAAACAAATAATTTACTTTTAAAACGCTAATCACTAAGCACTATAGCAGTAACTCACGTAACCACATGACTATGTTTCTCGCACAGAATACCTCCAAAATGCGCACAGTTCGATATTTTGCCAACCGTCTCAAGCCATTTCGGCGTAAACATTCTAAGTGTATACTTTGAACGGTTATCTCTTTTTTGTTTCCATATAGAAAACACAAAATAATAATTTGTTGTTTGTTTACAATATGATATTTTTCCACTATAAGGACATGATTATTATCCGCCACATTTAAAAAATTTACACTGAACGGTTACTGAGTTACAGGTTTTTAAAGTTAGGCAGAACTTTTGGAACGTACTATAATATAAAATGTCTGTCCACGGCCTTGTGTCTCGTGTGCTGTGTCTGGTTCATTAATTCTTCTATGTAATGATACTAAACTGCGCAATATCTTCTCTTTTGGTCATCCTTAGCATCTCTTTCAGAAAAAAAAAAAAGGGGGGGGGGGGGGGGGGGGGGCTATTCCGTTGTCCCACGCGCACCAGTTATTCCTTTCTATTCCCTGCCTGAAGAATGTGGACTGGCCTCTTCTAAACTTACCAGAACGGGAGAACACTGCCCTGAAGATACACAACTAGAAACTATTTTCCCACCCTTCCTTACCCGTACCTGGCTGGTATAGCTGTTACTGATGCCCTAATTATAACTTCTTTGGAGATTGAACAGAGTATCTTGGATCTACCTTGTTGGTAAGAATTAGAGTTTCAAATGTCAGGACTTATTTTAAACTTTTAGGTAACAGTAGTCAAAATAAACCAGACCACAAATATAACCAGAAACTGCTGGCAGCTCGCTAACAATAGCAGGTCGAGAATTTGATTTTTGTCTATACTGGAATAAAATTGTGTTTTTTGTTAAATCTGCCTTTACTGGTTCAACACAGTCAGTCCTGCTGCAAGAACTTTCAGGAATATCGTTATCAGTGTTGTGGCAGGTGTGGCCCAGCCAGAGGAGTACCCTACCAAAAAACTCCTGGTAGGTACTAGTCCTTATTGAGAACGAAACCCAATCACATGATGTAACCGACAGTTGTAACCTCTGTAAAAAGCTGCGAGGGACGCTGATGAGAAGCACCCAGTTTGGCATCCAAAAACATTATTATTACGCAGAATAGCCAAATAAAAGATATTCAACAGAATGACCTAATAGGAATTAAAGAAGCACCGAAAGATCGCAGTTATAACCGACAGCTTTTAAAGCCGGTTCAACGCCATCGAAACTTTACCTCCAAGCAAGCAATGTGTGTCATGTCCAACTCCAGTTGTTTCCTCAATTCTCGATTTCCATAGTTCTGCATAGTGTTTCTATCATGCCAGACTGCTATTGTAAACATTGTTTCTTGTTTCTATCACAGTACTTTATCCTCGGGACTGAGCAGTTTATCTGCCCTACTCTGGGCAGACGTGGTCCATCCAATAGTGGGACCAAACATCTCGGAGCTGAAGGCTACCCTTATTGCTAAAACTGCAGGTAAGGACCAACAACCAAGTCTCTGTGGTGAAGGTAAGTTTTACGCACGCTCGCTGGAAAGCTAACAGATCAAATCGCTGAAGAAGTCTCCTGTGGCAGGTAACAAACATAGAGAATGCTCCTTCAGTTGGTATCATGGACACATACACGCACTCGCATGTAGGCACGCACACACACACACATACACGCGCGCGCGCGCACAACCACAAAGAACGCTCGCGATTTAAACAAAAACTTATGTCTATCAGGCTTGTGTTCTCAGCACTCTACTTAATGGCAGGAAAACTTGGTCAACTTATGTTCTCAGCACTCTACTTTATGACAGGGAAACGTGGTCAACGTATTTTCTCAGCACTCTACTTTATCACAGGGAAACTTGGTCAATTGTGTTCTCAGCATTCTACTTTATGGCAGGGAAACTGGTCAACTTGTGTTCTCAGCATTCTACTATAAGGCAGGGAAACTTGGTCAACTTATTTGCACCAGGAGAAATGGCTAAATAGCTTTCACATACGATGCCTAAGAAGAATACTTGGCATTACGTGGCAAGACAAGATCACAAACTCTGATTTATTGGAAAGAACAGTTATTACAAGTCTTCTCAATGCCCAGTCTACGCAGGCTCAGGCGGTTAGGTTACACCTGGAATTAGGAGGATGGCAGTCTCTAAGGACATCCTCTATGATTAATTAAAGACGGGCAAAACATGTCGAGGCCGACCTCTACTATGATATAAAGATGTGTGTAAGCGGGACATGAATGATACAGGTATTGAGAACTCTTGGAAACAAAATGTAATGGACCGTGTTGTGTGGAGGCGGCACATCAGGAGAGAAATAGGAATGACGGAAGAAATGACCGCAGAAAGGAAGAGAGCTAAGCGTCTCAGTAGAAACAGAATTGTGGAAGACTTTTCCTAATGCTGGTGTGTCTTGCTAGTCACACTCGCTACATGAGACTTACAGCCCATGGCGATGGCGATTGTGACTAGCAAGACCCACCCGTGTCAAGAAAAGTCTTCCACAATGATAGCATGGGATTTCAGGACCATTTCCCACACACACACACAAAATAGCCAGAGCGCTGTAAGAACAACGGAAGGTATGACAGACTGGTTCCCCATTACATCAGGAGTACGACAAGGATGTGTCCTATCAACCCTACTCTTCATCACATATATGAATAAAATTGCACAGGAGTCAAACCAAAACACAGATATTATAAATGAACTACTCTTTGCAGATGACCAATGTTTAATACAAGAAGAAGAACAAAAACTACAACAACATGTTGATTCATTGCTCACTAACTGTACAAAATTTGACATGAAAATAAACACCTCGAAAACTGAAGTAATGACCGTAGGAAAGAAACACAGTAATATAAACATAAAGATCAATGACATACAATTAGAACAAGTTCAAGAATTCAAGTACTTAGGATGCATATTTACAGAAGATGGAAGACTCGATAAAGAGATACAGGCTAGAGTTCAAAAAGCCAATGCAGTCAACTACCAACTGGCCCCACTTCTTCGTCATCCAAAGATCTCGTTACCAGCCAAACAACGGATGATCAACAGCATTTTCATCCCTACGTTATGTTATCAGTGCCAAACGTGGACAATGAACAAATCACATATGCAAAAAATAACTACGTGTGAAATGTGATGTCTCTGAAGAGTCACCAACAATACACGAAGAAACAAAGTCACAAACGTCAGCATTAGAGACAAAGTTGGAACAAAAGCATGCATGAAACATATTGAAAGACAGAGAATGAAGTGGTTTGGCCATTTAGTAAGAATGCAACCAGATCAGATTGCCTATAACGCCTTTTACAGTAGAACATCAGGAAGAAAGGCCAGAGGAAGACCCAGGAAAAAATGGATAGATGGAGTAGCTGAATACGGCCAGAAGATCCAGAAAACTGTCACTCAGATCACGCGAGAGGCACAAAACAAATATTTTAAACCACGACACTGGGCTGCAACCCGGTAAAAGTGAAGAAGATAATAGATAGATAGATAGATCAATTCTACAGTTCAGTTACAAATTAAATCAAAAGATTGAAAGAGACAGTCATCTCGCAGCTCAGTTACAAATTCAGTCAAAATCCTAATGAGTTAACAAATTCGCTTTGCAGTGTTGATTTTTGGTGCTTTGGCATGTGGGATCGCCGTCCTGGTTTCACAGATTGGTGGAACTCTGACTCAGGCAAGTGGCAGTTCCTGTGTCTATGTCTGTTCGTGTTTTTCTCCCTGTGGATGTACTTGTCTGTCCGTAAAAATTTTTACTTACACAGGCACCGAAACTCATGGGCTCAGGCCATTTGAGCCCTCCCTGCTCCCCCCCCCCCAATTCTTAAAAAGAAGATGTGACCAACCCCCCCCCCCCTCCAACACTTCCCAGTAATTTTCTTAGTGTAAGTAGTCTCTTTTGTAATCATGAACATATATTGTCTTTAAAATTATCTGCTTATACATGACATATTATTTCTAATACTTTAAATATATATTACTATTATTATGCTCTAAAACTAGGATTAGGCTCACCTTATTTCTTTATTGACGTGTTTACTGCACTGTAGATGTTGTCCCTCACCTCACAGTAATATCACCAACGTTATTTTATGTAATTTGCTTTATAACCTACTGTTACCTCTAAACAACGGCATGCGCACTGAAAGGAACTTGCTGTTGGTTCGCGTTAGGATTAGGGGTGGGTTTCAGGTTTGCTGTTCAGGGTTAGTGTTCGGGATTGCGCTTTGAGATGGGTAAATTATCATTTGTAGTGTAGTGCAAGTGTACGGTGTCTTCAAGTCAATACAAATAGACATTGTAGTAGTAAGACATACCAGAGTTACCCAAGATACACATATATTTTAGTCAATGCTTGTTAGATCCCACAGACACTGCACCGGCTTATCAGCAACAACTGCAGTATGCTCTTAAACTAGTGTGCTAGTGGGTTGAAGGAAAAAGAAAAACAAGTAGCAGGGAGATGAGGAAACCAATTTAGGGCAAGGACAAAATATAGTTCCCGATGAACAGAAAAAGCAGAGAAAAGACGAGGGTTCTTCTGAACAGGGCCATGAAATATGTTCATAACACCGACAAAGGCTATGTGAATAATTGTGTTACACAACAACTGACTAAAGCTACAAAGGACTACGTAGTCAACGCCTAGTCAGGCCACATGCACGAACTACAAATTATATACTGAATCAAACAAATTATTATAGTCATCGCAGTTAACATATGTTTATTTTCCTGAACACAAAACTGAAGTTGTTTCACAGGTAATACTACATTAACAACAATCAACGTGCTCAACCTGACTATGTGCTACTCACCTTAATAACAAGGAAATAGTATAATGAACGCATACATTCAGAAAAATTATATCAGCGATGGCAAAAATCAAAACATCGTTAGATGATACAGAATTTGAGAGATTTCACACCTGCGTCTTGGGTGCTAAAAGTGCTAAGTGAAAAAAATACTTACATACAACCAGGAGTTTACATCGCACTCAATGCATATAATTTCATACAATTTGAATTCATGACCGACCGACCGACACGACCGACCGACCGACCGACCGACGACCGACCGACCGACGCGACCGACCGACCGACCGACCGACCGACCGACCGACCGACCGACCGACCGACCGACCGACCGACCGACGACCGACCGACCGACCGACCGACGACCGACCGACCGACGACCGACCGACCGACCGACCGACCGACCGACCCCGACCGACCGACCGACCGACGACCGACCGACCGACCGACCGACCGACCGACGCCGACCGACCGACCCGACCGACCGACCGACCGACCGACCGACCGACCGACCGACCGACCGACCGACCGACCGACCGACCGACCGACCGACCGGACGACGACCGACCGACCGACCGACCGACCGACCGACCGACCGACCGACCGACCGACCGACCGACCGACCGACCGACCGACCGACCGACCGACCGACCGACCGACGACCGACCGACCGACCGACAGACCGACCGACCGACCGACCGACCGACCGACCGACCGACCGACCGACCGCCGACGACCGACCGACCGACGACCGACCGACCGACCGACCGACCGACCGACCGACCGACCGACCGACGACCGACCGACCGACCGACCGACCGACGACCCGACCGACCGACCGACCGACCGACCGACCGACCGACCGACGACCGACCGACCGACCGACCGACCGACCGACCGACCGATCCGACCGACCGACCGACCGACCGACCGACCCGACCGACCGACCCGACCGACCGACCGACCGACCGACCGACCGACGACCGACCGACCGACCGACCGACCGACCGACCGACCGACCGACCGACCGACCGACCGACCGACCGACGACCGACCGACCGACCGACCGACAGACAGACCGACCGACCGACCGACCGACAGGACCGACCGACCGACGACCGACAGACGACCGAGACCGACCGACAGACCGACCGACACCAGACAGACAGACAGACAGACAGACAGACAGAACAGACAGACAGACAGACAGACAGACAGACAGACAGACAGACAGACAGAGCCAGACATATTTACCTTGAGTTTTGCGTTCACCCTAATAAGAAGAAACGGTTCCTGACGTGCAGATCTACATGGAAGCATGATTCAGCCTTTGCTGGACGCTCTAATCGAATCCTCTTTTTGGGTTGTTTCTCTCCAATATCTAATGATAAGGTTACGTAAACCCACCTTTGCACTGTATCCATTACCTATTCCATCTATCTACCTTCTTCTATAACTCTTCTTGTTATGAGACCATTATAACTAACTATCTGGCCCCGTACACACTTGGTGGAGTTTGATGCATGATGAGGCAGTGCCTGGTTTTATTTAAGCCACGTTCTGAACATTCAGAATAACAAACTGATCATATCAGTCTGGTGAGATTGATCAGAGCCGGGAGAGACGATGAGATCTAACCTGATTGTTAACGCCTCAGAGAGAAAGGCGAAGACCGAAACTATAATCAGACTGCTACTGGCATCACTAGGTATTGCAACTGCGCTGACCTGCTGAAGACTGGGAGGAAGCTCTTATTGGGAAGGTCCCTTCGTAATGTGATGTCAATTGGTTGTAATGAAATCAACTCCACGCTAACTACCTGACTACTAAGTAATGAAGTCCGCAGACCCAGTATGTACATATGTACTGATCCACGTTGTGTCTGTCCACTACTGACATAACTATCCAGTTAGTTATACTACCTCATCGTCAGTTAGCAGGAACGTAGCTATCTCTTTCTCCAGCCGTTTCTATATCCTTACATGCGTTCATATCCAATGAATCTTCAGTTGGCTTGCCTCACCTTCGCCCAGGTCGGCTTCTGCCTCCATTCCGTAATACTTACCCCTTTCATAAGCGTTATCGCCCGAGACAACCATCAGTCCATGATTCACATCAATAAGTTGTCAGGCCACAGGGAGCGATGCATGATCTCAAAGTGAGTGATCACTTTAACCGCTTCCTTGAGTGAGACATCTTTCAGATTGCATTTTCTAAACTAAGTCCTTATTCTGACTTCTTTTTTTACATTTTCCATGTTGTTCCTTGTTGAGGTGAAGTATTTTAAAAACTGCGACATTGTCAATCTCTTTTATTATCAATTTCATTTCGTGGTTTGGGGTGATGTATTCCCTGTGGACATTAAACCCCCCCCCCCCCCCCCCAACCCCCAAATTTTAAAAAAAAACAAAAATAAAGACTCTCTTTTTGGCTTACTTTTTGTCGTTTAGAAAGAAATTTTTAAACCCCCCTTTAAAAATTCAAAATGAGAACCCGTGCAAAGCATATCTGAGTTTTGGGGTAGATCTGTCTCCAACCCCGTTTTTGGGGAAACGAAGCTGTTTTTTAGGGTATATATTGAACAGTGGGGGGTTTTGGGGAAAGGGGGTTTAGCACTTTTTTTGGGTTCCCGTTTAGGGGTTTTTGGTGAATATATATATTTTATATTATATATATTTAAAATTTTATATAGATATATATATATATATATATTATATATATTTAAAAAAAATAAAGGTAGTCTTTCCCTTTCTACCCCACAGCCTTTAGTAATACCTACCCAAACCACCAAAATTGAGAGCAAAAAAATGTACGAAAGGAAAAAGATAAGGGAAAAACCTTTTTCTAAAAATTAGCGGTGGTTAAAATAAATTTTCCCTTCGAAAAAAAAATTCTGGTGTTGGATGTTTTTTTTTCGGGAAACATACAGCGGGTCAATTTGCCGAAAAATAGTTGGTCTTTTCTCCTTCATTATGTTTTTTTAATGGCCCAAAAGGTTTTCCCAAAAACCAAACACTTTTTTTGTTGTCTATTTTCTAAAATCAAGCAATGGGAACGCTTTTTTTATGGAAATTTATATAATTTTATACCTGTGGGATGCCCAGGAAGATCAGGGCAGGCATGCTTCGTGCAGGGGCATGCCCGCTGCAAAGGATACGGGTGGGGGATTTTTGTAGGGTTTTTTACCGGGGCCGGGCCCGGTTTTGTTGGGAAATGAAAAAGGCGGACATACGGCTGGCTCTGCACCAAAACCCGGTAGAAAAATGATACATGATAAGGCAGACATGGTTCGTGCATTGGGAGAGCGTTTTGTACAGTTCGAAGGAGCAGATAGGCTCACCACAGTCTGGTGAGATTGATTCAGTGGGAGTGACAAAAGGTTCCGGCAGATGAACGAGGCTCAAACAGGAAAGGCAATAGAACTGAAGTTTATTGAGAATGCTAACTGGACCATTAGTATACGGAACTATTCGCTGGCTGCTGAGATGGTTTCGGGGGGCTTTTGGGAATGCCCCGAGTGCTGTAATATATGTTTATATATTAGATTCAATATAGTCTTGGAATACTCTCTTTGTTAACCAGTTGACAAAGACAATTTCATATAAGATTCTCCACCATTAATTTTTGTCTCTCTTTGTGGGTTTGCTTGGGGTATTCTATGTTTAATCCTTTATTACGTTTTTTATCTTGTTCATTTTTTGTGGATATTGACTTTGGAGAGCATTGTTCTTCTTAATGACTCTTATCTAAGCTTCTATGTTATTCAAAACTATGACCGTGTATCTCGACTTTCTGTCACAATTTGACCTAACATGTTCATGTTACTCATGTATTCCATGGAAACAAAACACAATCGATACTGAGGTGTACTGAAAACGATGCACAGTCAAAACGATATTACTGAAAAAAAAAAAAGAGAACTGAAATTGTACTTTAGCAACATAAAAGTACATAGCACACTTTTAAAAACCCTACTGGGGAAGGAAAAGGTCGAAAGGCAACGAGAACAAGAGGTAGGCAACACTTATAAGTGGGAGGCAAACACTGAAAGATATGGCCGCGTTAGCTAGTCTGAGAGAGTGTACAACAGGACCAGAAAACCGGATCGCCTGTGGAGATCCATTGCCAGCCAAACTTCACTGGCGAGGACTGGGCACCTGATTGATAACTCAATTATATACAAGTATTGTAAATGGAGCATTTCATTTTCCGATTATCAAAACCAAATCATGAGCGTTTACGCCCGCTGTTTGCCTTCAAGCACAAAAACCGATTTCCTAAAGTATCTTGGATGGGACGGTTTTTAAACCTCCAGAAAAAAAAGCCGGCGCGAATGATGTTGTATGCTGCCGCCATTGGTATCGGAGATCTCTGACTACTGAAGAAAAGTAACAGATACGACATGGGAATAGTTGTTAAAGGAAACGTTAGTTCCCCACCCCCCTCCCAACATTCTACACACCCCGGACCCACTTAACCATTTTTTCTGATTAGTAGACCACTTAGCCTAACTTACTTCTGATTGGTCGGCCTTGAGCTAACACGATCATCACACAAGGTGACGGGGAGGTACATAATGTTGTTGATATAGCTTGTTGCTATATTTCCCCATGTCAGCGCTGTTAAAAACTCCAAAAACTATCGACAACTGGGTCACACAAACAACCCCTCTTAGGGAGTGACGAAACCTAGGTCACAGGCAAGTCTCTTTCTAAGGAACCACCAAACGTAATTGAAAGGACAACAACAGAGCCAACACACCATAACCTCGCCCACGGTAGATTAGTCCAACACATTACCATGGAACTTGACTAATCTCCCGTGGGGAGACGAACATGTGATGACCGGACTGCTCGACGTACCAGTGACTCGTCGGTTCTTTTATTCATTCATCATTCATTCATCTCATTCAGTCATTAATTCATTCAGTCATTCATTCATTAATTCATTCATTCCTTATTTCATTCCTTCTGTACTGATCTTTGGACACCTACAGGGCGCTAATAGCGGACGGTTTTGCCGGGACTGGCCTTCGCTTTGGATCGTCCATGGGGATGAACTTTCACCAGTCATCAAGAAAAATCCCTGGTTAACCTCCAGCCTCGATATAGCCAACTGTTCCGTTTCCTGATCTGGGAAAAGGACAAACTGACTTGTGGTGTCGTCAGGTACAAACTCTTCCAGTGTTTACAGTACCTACCCCCTCCTCTCAAACTAGTTATGACAAACGACGAAAAAAATATTACAGAGAAACCGTTAAGTTGGTACATTTCACGTACCTAAAATTTAGTAGTTTGCCATTGCTTTACTCAAAGGTCGGCTTCTCGGTACCACGTCGAAACTAACAATGAGACGGTCTGTTGCCAAGTCGCCTGCAGCTGGGGTCGAACCCGGCAAAAACAAACCCCCGAAGTGTCAAGATTCCCTCTTCAAGTGCTTTTGGGGGTTTGCCGTCACGAGCAAACAGCAAAAACCCCGAAGGGGCGTTTTGGGTTATAACTATAATAGGTTATGGCACCATAAAACGGCCTAGCATTGCAAACCAACAAAACCCCTGAAAAGGACCAGCTTAGGTGGATAAAAGGTGACAGACCAAAATACTGTCCCGAGGCGACGAAGTCGATTCAAGTTCAAGCAGAGGACCCACTTTAGTAAGGATTATCACAAAAGGTCAGTACTCCTGTAGCTAGCCGACCCCTAAGGCTTATATAAAGGACGCTAGACCGTACTTTATAGACTTTTGGGCGAGTGATGTCGCAAACCCGCCCCCCTTATTTTCCAGGACTTTTTTGGGGATCCACGTAATGCGGGGCCCAATCTGTAACCCAAAATCATTTTTGAAAAAAATCGGGCTCCGTCGGGACCGACCCCCGCCCTTCGAATCTGCAGGCGAGCGTCCTAGCGAAACCCCACAGCGGCTCCTGAAAAAAAAACCCACAAACTCTGAAGCCCCACGATCAAAACCGGAAAATAATAAAAACTGCGCCGAAAATCAAACGAGCCCCTACAACGGAGTTCCTTTTTGAATATTATCCTTACAAACTCATGGATCAGTCACAGTTAAAATGGTCTGCAAGGGTTGCAGAATGAGAGAGAGAGAGAGAGAGAGAGAGAAGAAGAAGAGAGAGAGAGGAGAAAAGGAGAGAGAGAGAGAAGAGAGAGAGAGAGGAGAGAGAGAGAGAGTAGGCCACCATGGCGGGCATGCGAGCCAAAAACCCAAAGGGAACCAGGACGACCAGGGGTTCATTTGGAAACAAATCCAGCAACCCGATGATAGGGGGACTGGAATGGAAAAAACGCCAAAAAGAAAACTGCTGGTAAAGTCTGGCGATCCTTACAAACAAAGATGTAAAAGAATCGTAATATATATTTTTTTAAACTTTAAATTTTAAAAACCCTTTTAAATTTTGGGGATGCCAAAATTTTCAAACGTGATCGGGGCTTCGCGATTTACCAGTCGATCATCCCTAGGGTGAGAACTTGAAGCGCAGAAGCTTTGAAACTGCAGGAGCTTGGGGGTACAGAAGTCTGACCACAATGAGGGTACACGAAGACCAGGCGTCCACTTCTCTCCCCCGTCATCCTAAAAATTCCGTGTTTGTTTTGAGATCCTACTATGGGGGGGCAACAGGAAAAAACACACTGTCTCTCCCAAAAAAACATGTCGTAAAGTCGACTAACCAATTACTTCAAAGTCGGAGGCAGCTCTTGAGTAGCAAGGAAAAATTAAATGCAAACACAAAAAAAAACCCAGTAAAACGGATGTACACGCAAAAAATAGGACCGGCACCCCCCAAAGTCCAAAGGGCAAACATCCAGACTTTTCCCCTTGTACTTCAGAAAAAGGAGAAAAAGATGTTAAAAAAACCCCAACCGGGGGCCTGGTCAGTGTAACTAAATCGAGGTTTTCCTTTCCCCGTCGGAAAACATTTGCCTGAAGGCAAGGAACCCAACCCGGGTGCGCAACCCGATATGTAGACGGGTGTGATGCAAACTCAACCCAACAAAAACGAAAGCCCAGAAGTGATGAGCAACCCCACTTTCAGCCAAGTTTGCAGCGAGAAAAACAAGAAAATAAAAACCGGAAAGAAAAAACGGTCAACAATTCCATGGAGTGTACAATGTAATTGGGGGAGCTAGATTTGTCTCCTCGGCTATACTTTTTGGGTTTGGCGCCTTTTGCAAATGAATTGCATTTTCCCTTTTTGCATGTTTTGGATTTTTCCCCTAATGGTTTTCACCCGTTTTTCAAAGCACAGTGAGGGACATTTTATTGGTTTTTTACTACACTGGAACTAGCAAGTCTGAAAACCTGGGGGCGGAAATTAAAAAACCCCGATTAAGATAAGACTAACACTAAAATAAGACTAAACTAACACCAAGACCAAATGATTCTGACGTTGACATTCACTTTCTAAAACAGCGAAAAGGGTTCAAAGTTGTAACATTTTCATATCTTTGGGTTTTGTCCTTTGGAAATTTGCGACATGTTTGTAGGTGTTTTAGAGTGTTAACGGTGATGCTTTTATTTTACGCGAGTAGTTTTTCCGTGGACTTCTTTTGTGGTTAAAAAAACCCCCCGCTGATCTTCTCTTTGGGCACTAGAAGTCTTTCATGTGTGTCCTGGTTTAACTTTGAATCGAAAAAAATGAACAATGTATTCTTACAAAATACCCCCTTTTTCGCCGCCATCTTCTAGGAAAACCTTTTTAGAGGGCGTTCTCATCTTTAGAAAACCCCCTCATTCGTTTTAATTTTTTTCACTGAAAGGTTTCCACGCGTCCTTTTTCTCATGTTAGAAACCCCGCACACAATGTTCTGGCCACCAGGAAGGTTTCCACCCCTCCTTCTTTCGTTTAGAAAACCATCACTCAATGTTCTGTGTTCACCACAAAGGTTTTCACATGTCTTTCTTTTAGGTTTAAAATTTCACTCAGTTTCTGTTTCACCACAAAGGTTTTTTAAAGGGCTTCTTCCATAGTTAAAAAATCTCACTCAATGTTTGTGTTCACAGAAAGGGTTTCCCCGCGTTTTTTCTTTATTTTTAGAAAAACTATCACTCAGTGTTCTGTGTTTACAAAGGTTTCCAGTGTCGTTTTTTCATTGTTAAAAATCTATCATCAATGCTGTGTCCCAAAAAGGGTTCCAGGTCTTTCTTTCTTTGTTAAAAAAATCTATCATCAATTTCTGTGTTCACCAAAAAGGTTCCAGGTGTCCTTTTTATGATAAAAAACTTTTTTTAAAGTGTTGCTTGTGACTGGCGGTTTTTTTTAATCTTTCTCCCAATATTTCATATGTGAACGCCTTTTGCCTTTTTAAATAAAAACAATTACTTTTTGCGTTTGGTCGATCCTACAGTTTTGGTTAGAAAATAAAAATTTTATCACAACATGATAAACGGTATGTCTTTTTGATGAAAACCGTTTCAAGCTTATGAACAATGACTTAAATCAGAAAAACTTCCGTTAAATTTTTTCCCCCTCTGTTTTCTACCTAAGATGTGACCACTCTGATTTCACAGTCTCAAAAAGGGTAAGCCAAAAAGCAAACCCAGATACACATTCAGCCCCAAAAATTATAAAGGGCACCCGGAACGAAATATAAACCCTTTTTAAAAGGGCACGTCCTTTTTTTAACGTTTTTATTTCCAAGTCGTCCCTTGTGGGATGAATCTTTCGTTTTTTGAACCCCTCATTTGGGCTTTTGCCTGGGTCTAAATTAGCGGGGCCCAAATTAGGGCTATAACGGCTGAAAGGGTTTTGAGATCTCCCAGGGATGATCCTCATCTGCAGGGGGGCTTTGTCACCGGGGTTTTTTTCGATGGTCCCGGGTGCGTACAACAAAACAGCAGCAGCCTACGCCCATTGGCATATGGACCCAACATATATTTGCATCACACCCTTGGTGTTTTGGGTCAACATCCCCCCTTTCCTTTAAAGCTTTACCTGGTCATTTAAATTGAATCGATTGGGGACTAATGTCATTTTGGAAAAAAAAGTGCGACCCCGCCGGGCCCTAAACCCAAAGCCTTTAGGATCTCAGTCGAGCTCTAGCCGTCAGACAAAAAACGCCCTAGCGGTTTTAAAAATGATACCCCAAAAAGGATCTTTGTGAATATTGCCAAACAATGGAAAAAGTGAAAGGCAAAGTCCAGAAGTAAATTTATTTTGCACTTGATTTATCCCATATAGTTGGGTTCCTCTCCGCATAACATAGCGCCCCCGGGGCCCCATCACACAAAGTACAAATAGCCCCCGCGACTACTTGGGGATGTTTCGTTAAAAAACTGCACTCTAAAACCCGTGCACCCCATTTTAAAACGAACCCAGGGCCTTCAGAGCCCGAATCAGTAAAAGTATGGCAAATCGGCACCCCTCAGGGGGAGAAATTAAATAGTAACACTCACCCTACGGGGATGCCGAAAGGGAAAAAAAGGGGGGTTAGGCGGATTGGCTACTTTATCCTGTGAAGAATAGCACAAAAACCCCCCGCCCGGAAAAGTCACACACCACACACACAAAACAACAAGAAAAACCCAGCACAAAAAAAGGGAATGTTTCTTGTAGAGAAGAAAGCAGCTAGAGAGCCGTTTAAAGATAAGAGTACCTACGGGGACTGCCCCTATAGCGATATAGACGACTTGGGTGTTTTCCTGACGCCTTTCCCCCAAGGTAAAGGCAGAAAAGAAGTCCGTGATTACAAAAGGTAAATTTTAACAGAGTATTAAAGAAGTAAAATGTGAACACTCAAGCAAAAGTAACATTTACAAAAAGAAAAATGTCTTACAATTTTTAGTTGATTAAGGTAAATAAATCCTATCCCGTCACGAAAGTGAATCATTGAAGTTGGGCCCTTAGTTAAAATTTTTTTGGAATGCGGAATGTGGTTTTGTAGCGAAAGAGGAGAATACCCCACAAAAGAAAAGGGTAAAAAATACATCTTGAAAAAAAATTTCTCAAGGAGAAAACTGATTGTCCATATAAAAAAAGCATTCAAGTTCGCTCATGTGATGGAAGTTTAAAAGGGGCAATAAGCAGAAGGCGACTAAAAAAAGAAGAGCGGAAAGATTGACATCATAGCATGAGGATCTTCTGTGCACAATTTGAGTAAAAAACCAATAAAAGTTTTGGATAGCCTACTAACCCCAAAGCCCCCCGCTGTATAGACCAAGAGGTAAAAAAAAAAAGGTTCATTTGCAATTTTTTGATAGATTCAGAGGTTTTAACATGTTAAAAGTGTTTTAAAAAACAAGACCCAAACCTCCCAAAAACATTAGATAAGGTTTAAGTTCTTGCCTACAACCGGGGACT